AGATAGATAGATAGATAGATAGATAGATAGATAGATAGATAGATAGACAGACAGACTATAGATTGATAGATGATAGATAGTATATATACATTCTATCGATCGATCGACCTATCTACCTACCTATCATCTTTCTCTACATATAAATATTGATCGGTTGATGCTACGTCAGGGCGAAGGGAATCAAACCCGACCCACCCACTCCCAAGCACACCCACCCCCGCGCGCGCCCCGGCCTGTGGCGCGCATCTCGGCAGCTCCCTAAGAGCGAGAAGAAGCTGGGAGGCAGGCGGACGGCCCAAGCCCTCAAGGCAGCGCGCTCCCGACCAGCATCCCCGCGACAGCCTCCGGCGCTGGCCCTTCTCCCGGGCTCTCTGGCGATGCGGCGGCGGGCAGCCGCCTCCCGAAGGCTTGGAGGAGGGACCGTCGGGCGCGTCGCAGCCTCCCGTCCCTGCGCGCTGCACTGTGGGCGAAAGATGGCAGCTTCCTCGGCCCCTCTCGGCTCCCCGACGCTGTGACAGGCTTCTCTTTGCCCCCCACCCACACCTCCAGCGCGTCGGCGGGACCCCTCCGCCGGCCCCGCCGCTCCGCATCCGAGATGGAGAAGTGCTCCAGCTGCGAGAGCCTCGCCTCCAAGCCGGCTCAGCCGGCCACCCGCCAGCCCAGCTCGGATTCCCTCTCCAGGTACCGCATCTCTCCCGGGGCAAAGAGCGAAGGAGGCGAGGGTGGTGGGAGGAGGAGGGCGACGCGGATGGAGAGAAGAGCAGGGCTCCTGCTAGACCTAGATTCGTGGTTTGATGATGGGGAAAAAGGCGGGGGGGGGGAGTGGGGTCTGATCCGGGTTTTATTGGAGGGCCCGACATCTGGAAAGGCTGCATGTTCTTTCTTCCAGCTGCAAGGAAGAAGAGCTGGTGCAAAGGTTGGACGCTTTGATTCCCTTTCTTTTGCAACCGCCTCTCTGGTTGTAGGCTGCAGCCACGCTGGTGCAGGTAGTCCTTGACTTATGACCATAATGGAGCCCAGCATTTATGTCGCTGAGTGAAAAAATGGGTTTGAGTTTTTTGGCCCTTTTTCCTGCCACGTTTTGTTCAGGGAATCGCTGCCATGGTTAAAATTAGTACCATCGGTTGTTAAGTGAACCTGGCTTCCCCGTGGCTTGTCAGAAGGTCGCAAAACGGGATCAACATGATATACACACACACACACACGGACACGGACACCGCCGCTGTCGTAAATATGAACCAGTTGTCAAGCATCCCTGATGATAGGAATGCTGCAACAGTCATAAGTGTGAAAAATGGCCATAAGTCACTTTTTTCAGTGCTGTTGTAACTTTGAACGGTCACTAAGTGAACTGTTGAAAGTCGAGGACTACCTATGTTTCAGTTTGAGAGCCAGGGCCAATCTCAGGGTTAGGATTTCTTGCAGCCGGATCCTCTGGATGTTTGCATCCTAGTGGGTTTAAGAGGCGTTATTCCAGAAGGCTTAGGTGAGCATGCTTTGCACACTTACTTGGGAGCAACCTAGGTTATTTATTTCCGAGCAACTTTCACCGGCTTGACCACTAATTTTAGCTGTAACCCATTGGCCAAGGAAGGTAGAAAATCCACTAAAAGGGATTTAGCCTTGATTGAATTTAACCTGTAGCTTCGCTGTCCCAAAGATGCTTTTTCCAAAAGACCAACTGGATTTTGTTTTTTTCCTTGAAGACGTTTCGCTTCTCATCCGGGAAGCTTCTTCAGTTTCGCTTCTTGGATGAGAAGCGAAACATCTTCAAGACAAAAAACAAAATCCAGTTGACTTTTGAAAAAAGCACCTTGGGGATAACCATGACCTGGATGGCCGAGAATATCCATAGACTGTAGCTTCACTGTTATAAAAGAGGTTGAAAGATTGGCACGGTTTCCAAAATTTGTGTTATCCAGATGGGCACTGTGGGAAGTTTTCCCCCTAACATATTTACAGGGGAGTATGCTGGTAAATTTCCTTGGTTGCTAAATTTGTTTTCTGTCTTCTCACCAAACATTCTTGTCACCAAAAAGGTTGGGGTTACAGCACTCACTAAATCACAAAAAAACAAGGGAGGTTAACTCTAACCGGAATCAGTAGGATGTGTGAATGCATCTGCTTTACAGGTAGATCTCAAGTTCATGGCCACACCTTGGGCCCAGAATTTCTGTAGCTAAGCAAGATGGTAACAAAGTAGCCACACCCAGTTTTACAACTTTCTTTGTCACAGTTGTTAAGGGAATCACTGCAGTTGTGCAATGAATTGTTTAGTTGTTAAATGAACCCAACTTTTCCCAGTCAGCTGGGAAGGTTGCAAATTGTGATCAAATGATCCCGGGATCCTGCAACCTTCATAAAATTTATGCAAGTTGCCAAGTGCAACTGAATTTTGATCCCATGATCATGGGGAATGCTGCAATGGTCATAACTCCAAGGTCCAGTTGTAAGTCACTTTTTTCAGTGCCATTGTAATTTTGAACAATCACTAAACTCAATGACTATCTGTACAAGATGTGATTGAGTGCATTGTGTGAATGCAGCCCAGGAGTTAACTGAGGACCATGACTTTGCAATTAAGTCCTACCACAAAATATTGTGCACGGAAAGCTCTTAGCTTAGAAATCAGGTAGCCACGGCTATTTCCTGGATAGTGTATTCAGTTCATTGCTATCCTTTATTTGCTAATCATTGTTATCCAATACTATAACATCTTGAACAAAAAACAGTAAAGTCCGTAGATATACATGGATCATGAGTTTATTACAGAGTAAGGCTGGCAAAAAAAAATAGTGAATTAATTCAGTATTCTAGAGATCAATCAAGGCCAAGAATTCTCCAAGAAATATTTGGAAAATATGGATTGTTGAATCTATCAGTCAAAGCAGCTTTTCTTGAAAGTTTATTACATGATGCTCAGTAATGGTACCCACTATGCCTAGATTTGATGCCACAAATTGGAACCAGGGAATTCTGAATGTATCTGAGTAAACAAGAAAGATTTCTAGAGCGAATCTCAACTCCTGCTGATTTCATAGACACATCCATATGGTCCTGACATGGAAGTGGTTTGTTGCTGCTATCTTGAGAGTTTTCTCGGCTTCCCAATCTAGTGTATATTCCTGGGGATTGTATATTCCTGGGGATTGTGGTCTACCATCCAAATGCTAATCAGGTCCGGCCCTGCTTAGCTTTTTTTGACATTATTGAAGGCTGCTGGGGGCTACCATTTGCTATGTGTGTTAGGAATATAAGTCACCTAACAGCTATTTGGGTTGGACAATATATAAACCAGGATAAACATTTTAAAACTGTATCTTTAAGAAAATGCAAAACTGTAATTGAGTGTGGTTCTGCAAATGGCCATAACATGGAGCCAGAAACCTGGGTTGTCTAGTCTTAGTCTCAGAAGAGAATGTGTCTCAATGAATCTCTTTTTCCTTCTGTTGGAGAGTATTGCCGTTCCTGTATTGACTGATATTCCTGGATTTGATGTAAGTCTAATACTGAACTGTTTTTGACACTGGACTTTGTTACTGGATTGTCCCTGGATGAAAACTGACTGATTTACCTGTGAATGACTTTGGACTGCTTGTTTTGGACTTTGCTTAACATTTCTGGAAGTAAAAACCTACATTTACTGTACAGTGTATCTGTGTTCTATGTGTGTATTATTCAAACACTTCTCTCAAATACGTCTCCCTGTATGCACTCATTCTCCTAACGGGTAATTACCTCAACAATGTGCAATCAGGTAGGGTAAGTAGGTAGGTAAGTGATAGGTAGGTAGGTGGGTGGGTGGGTGGGTGGATGGATGGACAGATGGACATAGATATCTAGATGATATCTAGAATGCTAGATAGCTAGGTGGATGGATGGATAGACAGACAGATGATAGATGGGGGCGGGGAGAGAGAGAGAGAGAGAGATTCCCAACTTTTGGTGATACCAAACAGAACTAAGCATCTGGTTAGTAGGCTTGATTGAGAAGTCAAAAAAAAAACCCTCCACCCCAGATATCAACTTCAGAATTGTTGCTTAGAAAAGCACTTATTTCAAAGAAAGTGAAATCTGATGTAAGCAATTTATGCTTGGAGTGTGGAATGGAAAATTGATTTTTTTAAAAAAAAACATAATTTGATGAGTGGGCCTTCTAACAGCACTTTTGTGCTGTGAACAACTTGCTGGAGGCAACAGCCTTGTGCCCCACTTTTCTATAAGGTGAGAAGATGGGAATCTAGACCTACTAAAGGACAGATGTGGCTTTGACCCATTTCTCGTACAAAACAACTTGTGTAAGTATATCTGAATGGAAAAGTCACTTTCTGGAGAAGGTGAATGGCTGCCAATCATGGATTAAATGTTCTTTGGTTTCATTCTGTTCTGTTCCATAGTGCCATTTGCATTTACTGTAACACACCTTGTTTCATCTAGTTCTTCAGTTGCATTGTTGCGATGACTTCTCTGCCTTACTCTAACACAGTATTTCTTAACCTTGGGAACTTTAAGAAGTGTGGACTTCGATTCCCAGAATTTCCCAGTCAGCTATAAATTCTGGGAGTTGAAGTCCACACATCTTAAAGTTGCAATGGTTGAGAAACTCCGCTCTAACCATCTCTAGCAGTTTTGTTGAAGTATTTCTTTCAGTCCTGGAATGTAATCAATCTCTAAAACCTGAATACAGGTAGTCCTCAATTTACAACTCTGTTCAAAGTTACAACAGGGCTGAAAAAAGTGACTTGGGGTCATTTTCCACACTTATCTAGATTCTATGGTCACGTGACTTACATTGGGATGTTTGACAACTGACTCATATTTATGACGGTTGCAGCATCCCGGAGTCAATGTTGATCCCCTTTTGCGCCCTTCTGACAAGCAAGGTCAATGGTTGAAACCAGATTCACTTAACAACCGTGTTACTAATTTGAGAACTGTGATGGTTCACTTAACAAACATGGCAAGAGAAGTCGTGAAATGGAGCAAACTCACTTAACAAATTTCTCACGTTAACGGTAAGTCGAGGACTACCTGTACACTTAATCACATCTAGTAGAGGTAGTCCTTGAGTTTAGAGAGGGTTCAAAGTTAGGCAGGTAGATTGGTTAGTAGGTAGATAGGTCGTTGTTTCTCAAGAAGGAAAACAACAGCAGTCACAAAGGTGTAGATTGGGTGTATGTCAGCAAGAGGACTCAGGGCATATTTTAATGCGATGTGTAGGATGCACAGAAAATGAACCACCTGTATTTCTATTTTGGGACAGAGCATGGTGTTCTATAATGAAGATTTAATCCAAGATGTTCCCTATCCAAGCATCTCAATGCTTAGCCTTAGAAACTTGCCTTCTACTCTGAGCTTTTCAATGAGATCGCAATAGCACTTAGACTTATATACTGCTTTATAGTGCTTCACAGCCCTCTCTATGCGGTTTACAGAGTCAGCCTATTGCCCGCAACAATCTGGGTCCTCATGTTACCCACCTCGGAAGGATGGAAGGTTGAGTCAACCTTGATCCTGGTGAGATTCGAACTTTTGAATTGCAGGCAGCTGGCAGTCAGTAGAAGTAGCCTGCAGTAGTGCACTCTAACCACTGCGCCAGTGGTGGGATTCAATTTTTTTTTACTACCGGTTCTGTGGGCATGGCTTGGTGGGCATGGCAGGGGAAGGATACTGTAAAATCTCCAGTCAGAGGTGGTATTTGCCGGTTCTCTGAACTACTCAAAATTTCCACTACCGGTTCTCCAGAGCTGATCAGAAACTGCTGAATACCACCTCTGCACTGCGCCAATGTGGTTCTAATTACAGATACCTAATTACAGATAGTCCTCAACTTACAACAGTTCATTTAATGACTGTTGAAAATTACTATCTATTATCTTGCTTAACATAGAAAATACAGAGAAAAGGGGGAAACAATGGAATACGTCTATTTGTTTGGATTGTGTGCTTCTGCCTTTTCAATCATACAAGTTGATCAAGTCAACTCATAATCCAAAGAGAGCTAGAACCAGATCAGGTGAAACTAATCATTGCAATATACAAGCACATCTTTGCACCATTGAAAAATAAACTCTGAGTACCTGGTTAAAAAGCTGAGGTTTTAACAAAGAAAGCGAGGGACCTCTTAAGAGAATGCCAACCGAAAAGTCCTCTCCTTCAATCTCTTCTACAGATTTTATTCCTCCCCAAAAGAGAGGCAGGCATTCAAGTAACCAGAAATTAAGTCATTTACGTTTAAAAGCTTAAACCAGCATTTTAAAACAAAGGTCTTCAAACTTGAAAAGTTTAAGACTTGTGAACTTCAGCTCCCAGAATTCCCGAGCTAACATGACTGGAGGAGGAATTCTGGGAGTTGAAGTCCACAAGTTTGAAGATCCCCTGCTTTAAAACCTGTATGATCGCTGCTCCCCAGGTGGTAGCACTAAGAACTAATAATTGGAAATATCTTCGGAAAAATTGGTGTGTTTTTTTTCTCTAAGTGATTTTTCATGATATAAAACCAGCCAAAAGAAGAAGAAAAGAAAGAAATATAGAGATAGGAAACGGTAGACATTCTAAAACTCCGGTCAAGAAAGCACGCAATTTTACACATTCAGCTGGCAAGAAAAAGATTAAATATTTTTTCTGTCCTCTGCTCTGCCAAAATCTCTGCCTTTTCATTTTAAAAGGAGGGAAAAAAGTACCAGATCCACTTAAGGAGTCTTATGTTCCCACCTATAAATTCAAGCATATTGTCAATTCCATATGATATAGAAACATGCTTCCTTTGTCTTTTTGAAAACACAACAATTAATGCTCAATATAACCTTAATCAAAGATTAATCATACTGAGACAAGTGCATTGTTTGTGGCCTAAAAGGCATGTAATAGTTGCAGCCAAAATATCCTTTGTGTTATTTATAAATGCTAAAAAAAGAAGAAAACAGGAAAAACAAGTTAAAATAGGGGGGGGGGGGGAAATAACTACTAAAAATAGCATAGATAAGTATCTGGATTGTGACTACCCCACTTCACTGTAGTCCAACTGATTTATAGTGTTTATGAACACAAACTTTAGAAACCTTATTCTAGCTTTTTTGTATTTGCCTTGCTGCATTTGTTATAATATGCAGGGAAGGCATTCTTGCTTAAATTTAGTTAAACTTCTATTATGTGTAAATATTTCTTCAAGTTAAAGTTCTAATCAGATTTTGGTAGTACAATGTCTTTTTCCTCAATGTTGTAAGAAAAGGAGGGTTTTTAAGGGGAATATAATTCTATAGTCAGTACCAAGGGGCTGGGTTTATGCTCTTTCTGACTCATGAATAGCATGATTCAATCGCAACCAAAGGTTATTCCATAGGAAGCATGTGTTGAATTTCAATGACTGGTTAGTTCTGGGAGGGCAACAATCAAAGCTTTGTTTACCAAGCAGACTGACTTTTAACTTAGGCACTTCTTCCCAGCCATCAATGTTAAAAACAACAAGAACAGCCAATCATATATGAGCAATGCTTGGAATACTGCAGACTATTGTATGACAATGGCCAGCATAAAATGAATTTTTAAAAATTTAAATGCATTAAGAATTTCCGTACAATAAAAGACAAGTCAAAAGAAAGAAAAAGAAAACCGAAAATGTACAGCCACCTCCCTAAAGTTAAGTATTATAAATATATACTTCTGACTTCTTTTTTCAATAGATTGTTACAATATTATTGTCCCCTCTGCTTCTTAAATATTTTGCAAATCACTGTCCTTTAATGCTCATCTTTCTAAATCTTCCAATCCAGAATTCAATTCATTTTTCTCTTATTTCAGCAAAAAAAATCCATAGGTTTCCATTTTTTTTAAAAAAATGTGGTTGTTGTTAGAAAAAGCTCACTCGATGGAAATACAGTTAGTCCTCAACTTACAACTGTTCATTTACTGACCGTTTAATGAAGAGATGGTATTCAGCAGGTTCTGACCAGTTCTGGAGAAGATAGTGGAAATTTTGAGTAGTTTGGAAAACCGGCAAATACCACCTCTGACTGGCCCCGCCCCCATCTATTCTCTGCCTCCCATCAAGTCCCAGCTGATCGGCTGGGTCTTCTTTTGTTGCCCTGCACAGGAGAACGGAGCTGGAAAGCAGGTTAGTGGGGTGGGGAGTGAATGGGGATTTTGCAGTAACCTTTCCCCAGGAGTAGGGTGGGAATGGAGATTTTACAGTATCCTTCTCCTGCCACGCCCACCATGCCACACCCACAGAACTGGTAGTAAAAAAATTTGAATCCCACCATTGGTTTAATGACACTGAAAAAAGTGACTTATGATGGTTTTTCACACTTATGACGGTCCAATACCCCCATGGTGGGAGTAAGGAGGGATTCTGCTAACTGTGGTTCAGCAACACCTGAAGGTTCACTTTCTCCCCTGATAAGCAAAGATATGGAAGAGTTGAATGTTTAGATTTAGACAGAACCTCAAAGACCATCAGCTAATCTATTCTGATACTGCTACAAGAAGTTCACTATAGGTTGGGCTGTGCTTATAAGAGACTAATTAATTTAGTGTGCTTGAATACAATAGTTCAATTGAGGGGTTGTTGTTTTTTTGTTCAAGAGTATCATAATTGCATCTAGGACCCAGACTATGTGGGAAATATGCAAATAAGGTTTATGGAGATTCTCAGTCTTCCAGGCCATGGTTGTCCCAAAGGTGCTTTTTTTCAAGAAGCAACTGGACTTTCTGATTTTTCTTTGAAGATGTTTCACTTCTCATCCAAGAAGCTTCTACAGAGGGACAGAACTAAGAATGGATGAGAAGCGAAATATCTTGGATGAGAAGCGAAATATCTTCAAGGAAAAAGAAGAAAGTCCAGCTGCCTCTTGAAAAAGCACCTTTGGGATATGCACATAACACTTCTACATTGGAAACTTCCCAGTATATAAGCCTAAGTGCTACTGCTATTGCTATCCAACGGATGGCATTTTGAGGAGAACTTCTCCCTATCTTCAGGTGAAAGCTCTACGCTTGCTCCTGGGACTGGTAAGATAAGAAGATAAAGCAATTTTTTTTTTGGTCTATGGAACTCTACAAAATCAAACCGTTGTTTCTAGATTTTTCTTCTTTTTCTCACCCTTGTTTTCTAGTGCTTCTACCTCTCATTCGGATCATTCAGCACATACCAAATCAGCTTCAGTCATCTCATCGGATTCTATCTCCACCTCTACTGAGAACTTTTCTCCTGATTTGAGGGTAAGCAATGGAGTTGATGAACACCTTAGCAGAGGCATGGGATGAATAAGGTGTACTATGTACAATTAAATTGGGTGGGAACAAAATATTTAAATGTTTATATGTGTGTGTGAGACAATCCTAGACCAGTCCAAGCCCAAAAATGACAGGGAATTTCTAGAAGCCTGGCACTCTGACAAATCAGCCATCAATAGTCATATAGACATTAACTACATCTATAGGCTGTACAGAGACAATCAGCCAACCCAAAAGGGGACCCCAGCACCTCTCCAACAATAAGATCAGCATAGATCAGAGGTCCCCAAACTTGGCAACTTTAAGACTTGTGGATTTCACCTCCCAGAATTCTAGCTGGCTGGAGTCTACAAGTCTTAAAGTTGTCAAGTTTGAGGACCCCTGGCATAGATTAACTCCAAGGTTAACTTCAGACCAACAAATAAGTAAGCAATACCCTAATCAAGGAACTGCCAAAGAGCCATCAGTAAACAGCCCAACCAAGATCGTACCCACCCACCCAGACAGACAAGTCACCAGAATATAAACCGACAGCAAACCCCACTCCTTGCTAGCACTGATGATGTTACCTAGTTAGGGTAATGAAACATCTGCAAAAAAACAAGCAAGCTCAGAGAGCACCAAGGAGCCCTCATGTGTACATATAAAATACACACTGAATGAAGTGTGTTCAGTGCATTCAACCTAAATTGAGAAAACTGCTTTCCTAATACCTTTTCCTTAATGTGCAAGGACTATTTCTATTTTACTTTGCTTTTGTTTGTTTTTTGATGGTCAAATACATGTTGAGGTCAACATGTATTTGTCCATCTTAGAACCTATAGAAGGGTTCCTGTTGCCTTTTTTTCTGGGATGATTTTTTCTTCTTCAAATTTGTAGTTTAGCCTTTTCTCTGGGGTGCAGTCCTGGACTTTTCTAGTAGTTTTCCATCCAGGTACCAACAAGGTCCAATCCTGCTTCTCCTTAGGGAGGTTTGCCAAATTCACCAGATGCTGCCCTATGCTATAACTGATATTATTATGTGTTTATGTCACTGTTCACTGTGTTCACATCCTCAGTGTTACTTAGCCAAAATGGAAAATATAAACTGCTTTTCCATGAATACTTCCTGTTACGTTTTGACCTGGCACTTAGGAATAGGAAATGAATGCCACATTAGTTGAACCAACAGCTGATCCTTTTGTTAGCTTTGGACTTTTGGTGTGTTTCATGTTGAGATCATATGATGTAATTTTCATGCAAAACTCATTTATGTTCTATGGCCTATGATTGAAGGTAAAAGAAAGCAAGCTACTATAGTGGAAATAAATATTTATTTACAATACAAGATATTCTTACTGAAAATTATTGTGTTGCTTATAACTAGCAATTGATGTGGTTCAACTTCCATATAAGTTCTTTCCACAAATAAGTAAAATTTGCCATTCTCTTTTTCAGATAGATGTAGATAGATGATAGATAGGAGAGCATGAATTCTAGTCCTGGTAATGGTGAGACTGGGTTTTAAATGTTGACTTGTTGTGAAATGTACATTGTTTCTTGAGGGTTCTTCAGAAGATCTTGACCTTGTCAAGGTAGAAACCTGTGAGCTATGGGCTGCTTCTAGAATTCCAGAAATCGATTAGGAAGCTGTTGCTCCTTATAGGAAGAATCTCATGCATCTGCTCTAAGATTAGGTTTTCTCCCTCTCTCATTCCGAAGAGTAAGTAGTCAAGGGACAAGTTCAAAGGGAGGAAAAAGGAGTGGCCATTTGAGGGAACTCAAGTTTTTATGGAAAACATTTGATGTCCAGTTGCTGACCGATGAATGTGGTTTACTGGTTTGCCCTCAATTTGTTGGCATTGTTCAGCTAACTTTGAACAGTTTGACTTGTTCAGGATCTTTGCTGCCAACTAGGGGTCATCTGGATTTTTGAACCTTAGACATTAACGTTTGTTTCTGATGATGAGATGGTCTTTTGAACCAGGGTCGCCAACCTTTTGGACCTCGGGGCCCACCAAACTCATAATTTTAAATCCCAGGGACCACTAACTGGTTCTGTGGGCATGGCCTAATTTGTAGGTGTGGCTTGGGTGTGGCTAGGCATGGCTTGTATGTAAATATTATAAATATTTATATAAATATTGATTTTTTTTATGAAAAAAGAGCTACTTTTACCCAAAATCTGGCAAAGCAGGCAGGCAGATTGAGTTGCTCACAGAATCATTCAGTGATCTATCTATCTGCCACCGTCTAGCTCAGTCTCTCAAATTTGCTTGCCATGAGTCTGCACTGAATTTGCTTGCAAGCAAAACTTCAGTCCTAAGGGAGGTTCGGCTGTGCTTAAAAGCAGAGCCGAAGATGTAAAGACTAGCTAGAAAGCAAGAAATCCAACCATTTCCTGCTTCCTAGTTAATTAAATCTCCCGGCACAGCAGAACACCTGATGGTCGGAAAAAGGAAAAGTAGCAATTTAGCAGGCAAGTTTGCCGGGTAAGGAGTGAGTGGCTAGGGAGGGTTCCTGCGAGCCATGTGGGCGGCGCAGCCTTGTGTTTCTGCGCAGCCTGGATTAATTGCTCTGGGGGTGAGATTTCTCTGCGGCCCACCAAAATTTTCTCGCGGCCCACCAGTGGGTCACGGCCCACCGGTTGGCAACCACTGTTTTGAACTATTACCATCTGGCAGACGGTACAGAATAATAAAAACAAGGACAAATAGGCTAAAAAACAGCTTCTATCCCAGGGCAGTAACTCTATTGAATTCTACTGTATAGTGCAGTGTTGGTGCGGTGTCGGGAGTTTTCAATTCAATGTGTGGAGGGTGAAGGATGTGTGTTTGTGTTTATTTTCATGGTCATGATGTGCACTGAAGATGGTGTTTGATTTCATTGTATGAGGTGCAATGACAAGAAACTAAACTAAAACTAAAACTAAAACTAAAACTAAAACTAAAACTGATGATGAGATGGTCTTTTATCCCAAGCAGAGACAACCTCACATTTTCACATAGAAAATGTTTTACTGTTACTCATGGCCATTGATTACTTTAAAACAATTTTTTTTTTCATTTTATCTTGACTGGGTTTTAGAATGTGTTTGTGTGTGGTTTTTTTTAATGACATTGAATATGTTTTAACATCTGGATTAAAAATGATAGCATGAGTTTTTACAGAAATAAATGTTTTAAAAACAGCACAACAAAAACCTACACCAGAAATTGCAGGGATTTCTCTCTTTTTTGGCTATTTTGGTAAATATCCCTGAAAGCGTGAAGGGCATGCAGGAATTTCTACTTGCATCAGCACCCCTGAAGCTGGCAAGCTGGCTTCATACAATCTTCTTTGCCTTTGATTAAAAAAAAAAAAAAGATATCCAAGCTCATAAACCCTCCGGTTCCTTTCCTCCTCCTTGCCATTCACCAGTTGCCTCCCGATGCAAAAGAATTTAGCTTATTTAGCAAGATCTTCTTTTAGTTTTGTCCTTCCTCTGTCTTCTTTTTATAGCTCTCTCGTCATAGACTTGTCAAAGACCAGGTTACAGTCTATTGATTTAGTGCAAATTAGATCAAGGAAAAATTTAAATTTAGTGCACATTAGATCAGGGGAAAGCCAGCCTCGCTCAATCTTTTGTCTCTGAGACAAGGAAAAATAGAAGTGTCTGGTTGGTATTTCAAAAGGCAGGCATAGAAAAAAAAATTATCTCAGAATTAGTCAAGGTCCCTGAGTATTTGCATAGGTGCCCATCTTGAAACAAAAATGCTCTCCTGCAATTATCTCTGGTTGTCATTTGAGAAGAACCAGATTTGAAGGGTACAAGCTGGTGGCCTTGGAGTGACCTTTTGAGCAGAGATCCATTATTTCCTCTTCAAGGCTGTTGTGTTCATTCTTATTGTGACTTAGCTACGATTTTCAGTCTTCCTATTGCAAAGTGCCCAAAGGAGAAATTGAAGATTTGGAAATAGAATGGGGAAAGACGATACAAAGTTGGTTCATGAGAATCATTGGACAATTGATTCTGTCTAGCAAGTCTTGTTCTTCTGTCGTCATATGACAAACATTTTGCCAAATGCCTGCAGTTTTTCTTGGAATCCATACAGAAATAAATTCCTCTTTCCTCTTTTAGAGATGCTGAGATAACTCACCCCTAATTTAATTTAACCGTAACTCATAATTTACCCATAGGTTCATCAGTAAAACGATCATCACTAAATAATCAGCAAATGTTTTTTTTTTTTAAAAGATGTTGAAATAGTAAAGTCTGCAATGATTTTTCTCAATGGTCTTTGTAGCAAGTAAAGGAAGTAGCAGTCTACTTCACTGCTCCAAAAATTCAGTTTCTCTTTTTGATCTGATGCATTTTGTTAAGTGGTAAAGTGTAGTTGGGTGCAAAGTATGATTTGAATTTTAAAAAGAAGAAAAGATTGTTTTAAAAATTAAGCTGATTCCTAAAGGTGATTTTTTTTGTCCAAACTGAGCAAACTGGAAATAGCTTGGCGAAAGATGATAACAAAATTGGTTCATGAAAATCACTGGACAATTGATTCTGTCTAGCAAGTCTTCATTTTATATCTATACATGCTGTACTTCAACAGAGAGCAAATGGTTGCACTCAACATAGTAAAACATCATATCCTCTACAATAGTCCTCAACGTATGATCACAATCGGGACCAGAATTTGTGTTTCTAAGCAAGGCAGTTGTTAATTGTGTTGGGTCAACTTTATGACCTTTTTTGCCACAGTTCTTAAGCAAATCACTGCAGTTAAGTGGATCACATAGTTGTTAAGTGAATCCAACTTTCCCCATGTCCAAAACTGGTTGGGAAAGTTGCACATGGGAATCATATACCCCAGGATGCTGCACCCATCATAAATGCACACCAGCTGCCAAGTGTCGTAATTTTGATTACATTACCACAGGGATGTTGTGATGGTCCTAAGTGGGAGGACTGATCATAAGTCAATTTTTCAGTGCCTTCATAACTTTCAACAGGGCTAAATAAATGGTTTTAAGTCAAGGACTACCTGTATTTGATTCCAGCCTATTGTACTATTGTATAGAACCTAGGAATTTTACTTCATAAAATGTGCTCTATGGCTTACCATGTTGTACAAACTCAGGCTATCATAGCTTCTTTAGCAAACTGTGGTTAAACAAACCACATTGAAAAGGTTTGTTATTTTACAGAAGCCACATTGATCTTCAGTATCAAACCCTTGCCTTATCTCCTTTCCATACAGCTGGAAAGAGTGTTTTGGAAAGTTTTAGGTTTTATTTGGGCAAACTACAACTGGACACATCAAGTGGCACTCTGATAACCCAGCTGACTAATTATCGTAATTTCAGTAAATGATGGCACCTAAAAGTTATGTATTTTGCTATTGTGCTTTGATGGATTTGGGGCTTACATGACATATGAAACCAGCCATTGTGATTTGTAAACCATGATTTATAGCTTAATTTATTAAAACCAGACTGCTGTGATGGCTCATCATGCACACAGTGCAAATATGGCTTACTGCCACATTTGAGGGCATCAAATCAAGACACCCTGACAAACTGTGATAAACTAAGAACTGATGTAGAAGAAACCTGTTCTCATGGAAGGAAAGGGGCTTAACAGGGAATTGAAGCCTGTGGTTTAAGGTAATGAGAATACAGTCGTGAGGTTTTAATCCCCATGATTAAACAAGCAGATGTCTAATGGTGTTATAGTGTCTTTGCTACTCAGCAGTAAGCTCATTTCTTCTGAGTAAAGAAATTTTCAGTCAGGAGCCTCCAATGGGGTTGGGGTCAAAAATAGTTGAGTTGCAGCCACAGCCGCACGTTTGAAACCCGTTGCCTTTTTTTACATGCTGAATATAAAAATGGGCAGGACTTGGATTGTTACAGAATCCCTCTTTGCATAAGCATCCTCTGGTACGCCCAAAACATGCAAAGGATGGGGAAGGCGAGGATTCAGAAGAGCAGAACAACTGAGACAGATACCCAAATGGGCCGAATAAGGGAAAACAGGGAACTCGTTGGATTAAGGGCAGAAATGTATTTTTTGGAGAGCATCACCTTCTTTATTATGAGTGGTGCGTTGGCCTAGAGGTGGAGCTCTTGCCTCACAATCAGGAAGCTGTGAGTTCACTCCTAGGTAGAGGCAGATATTTCTCTCTGGGCACAGTGAGAATATATCTGCTGAACAAAACACCGCACTGGCAACAGGAAGCGCATCCGGCCAGTAAACATTCAGTTCCGTTCAGTTGCCCACACTCCACCCTGCAAGGGATTATGGGGTCATTAAAAGAAGATCATCACCTTCTTTATGACCTCGTTTGTGGGGGGGGAAAGGCTTTTGCCAAAAGAAGGACGGGGAACCAGGGGATGGAGAGATAGGGGCTCTACTTAGCATTTGGGGGAGAGGGACACTGCCATGGGTAAAGCTGTGATGACAACCTTTGGGCAGAGCCATAAGCTGCTCTTTCCCTTCGGTTTGGAAGAGAAAATTCCTTATTTCTTTTATGCCAGGTAAAGCCTCTGTCAAGGTGTAAATTTATCCCTTTGCTCTTGCCTGGATATGACAGAGAACTGTTGTTTTTTTAATGCTATTTCAAGAAGGCATTTGTTCTCTACCTAGTATCCTACTTGACAATTTTTCTATTTGAATCATTATAAAATGTCCTGTCAGCTTATAGGGTTTCTACTTTATTTCTCCTTCATGTCAAGATTTTGATGAATGCTTTTTCTATAGGATGAGTGGTGGTTTTTTTTTTAATGGATTTAGTCATTCCCAACTCAGTTATTCACCTATCTATTTCCTTAATCATCAAACACACACAAAGTAAAGGCATTTTATTACAAATTATTTTAGCTGGTGTGCAAAACTACAGAAATTTTCTGTAGGGATTTTTAGGAATCCTGTATATGATTAATATGATCTCATGCAGATGCAAATAGGATGCTTTTATCTATTACTTTTAAAAACAGGAGCAAGACTACAAATATCTTTTTTCTATTTCAGGGCAAAAACAAACAAACACCAAAACTCAAAAAAAAAACAAAAAACCCAAACCTTCAAGACTGTCTAAATTATTCTTTTTTTTTTTTTCCTGTTCCCAACAATTGTCTGATCCTCCTCAGGAAGGCTTTCCTTAGTTTTGTAAGAATAAATGTCCCTATCTTCTTACCACAAGATTTATTTAAAAATATAGTTAATTGATTCATTGCAGTATTCAAATATAATATAGGATTTGATTCATTGATTTGATTTTTTTTTACCAGTCAATCTTGGCTACTTACATTCTCCACAGTATACATAATTTACATAATGTAACAATAACTAAATCACAGATAAAATTACACAATTATGTATCATCAAAAGCTATTAAAAAGGTGGCATCATTTATGTACTAAAGGGCTATTAACACCCCTTTTTAAAATAATTTACTGGAGCCTAACAAAGTAGGAGGTGGTCAGGTTTGGTGAAGACAAGCAATTTCATCCCTTTGGCATTACCTCAGAAAAACAAAATGGGAGACCCCTTGTAGATTTTCCTAGAAGCTGTGAATCAGGTAGGTTAAAGCTGAGTGCAGGTGACAAATATGGGTGCCAGGCATTGTTGCTTGGGCTTGCTGTTTTTTTTCCATGTAATTTTTTATACGTGGGGTAAGTAAGTTTCAAATGTTTCAACTTTTAAGTATTGAAGGTGAGTGCACCTGATATTGTGTTTGTGTTTTAGATACTCAGAGAATCAAATAAATTAGCTGAAATGGAAGAGCCCCCTTTGCTACCAGGAGAAACTATTAAGGACATGGGTAAGTGCAGCTGTTTGTATTTTCTCACCAAAAAAACATTGCAAGAGCTGTGGAGAGTCTCCATTTGACCGCAAGTAGTCCTCAACATATGACCACAATTGAGCTCCAAATCTCCATTGCTAAGCAAGACAGCTATTAAGTGACTTTTGCCCCATTTTATGGGCTTCCTGGCTGCAGTTGTTAACTGATTCATTGCAGTCGTTAAAGCTAGTAACATGGATGTTATGTGAATCGGGTTTCCCATTGACTTTGCTTGTCAGAAGATCACAAAAGGTGATCACATGACCCCGGGACACTGCAACCGTCATAAGTTCATGCCAGTTGCCAAAGGATGCTGCAATGGTCATAAGTGTGAAAAATGGTCATAAATAACTTTTTAGTGCCATTGTAACTTTGAACGGTCACTCAGTGAACTGTTATAAATCAAGGACTACCTGTGTACCTGAATAAAAAGCAAGTATAGTAGTCCTTGACTTACAACCATTCATTCAGTGACTGCACTTTTCAGCAGCACTGAAAAGAGAGTTTTATGACAGTTTTTCACATTTATGACCGTTGCAGTATCCATACAGTCACATGATCTTTAGGAATCATTAGATAGATGATAGATAGATAGATAGATAGATAGATAGATAGATAGATAGATGATAGATAGATAGATAGATAGATAGATAGATAGATAGATAGATAGATAGATAGATAGATAGATAGATAGATAGGTTGGCAGGCAGGCAGGCATGGTAGGTAAGGCAGTAGGCAGGCAGGCAGA